CATTAACCTAGAAGAATTACTATCAATGCATTTCTTTAAATCAGTTATTCATGGAAGCCAGATTGCTCAAGGGAGGATAGAGGTCAAAGTTTTGGATTCTAAAGATACAGTACTTACTGGCAAAACACTTAAATTCTGCGGTGCCTTTATTTCATCAAGTTTAAAATATCAAGATATTGATTCGGTTCTGACACATATTGTTGTGTAAAGATCAAGTGATGTCATACAGCTTGCATCAGAATCACACCATGTTGTCATTTATTTCTTTAGATTTATTTATTTTTATTGGAAGGGCAGATTTACAGAGAGAAGGAGAAACAGAGAGAGTTCTTCCATCTGTTGGTTCATTCCCCAAATGATCACAATAGTTGTGGCTGAGCTAATCCAAAGCCAAGAGCCAGGAGCTTCTGGGTCTCCCATGCAGGTGTGGTGTCTCAAGGTGTTTAGGTCATCTTCCTCTGTTTTCCCAGCCATAATCAGGGAGCTGGATGGGAAGTGGAATGGCTATGAAATGAACTTGTGCTCATATGAGATACAGGCTCTTGTAGGCAGATTAGTCAATTGAGTCATTGTGCTAGCCACATGCAGGTGTAATCTAACATACAACTAAATAAGTCTGAACTTATTGTTACTGCTAATAATGGCTAATATGGCCATTCAAAAGCATAGGATGCCAGTCTGGGGCAGGAAATTATTGTTTTCACATATCTTCCTAAGGGGGCATCAGTTGTAAGTTCTTTCCTCAGAACCCAGCACACAGGGATGAGCAGTCATGAAATTATAATACTGCCATGAAATGAGCATATAATAACTACACTAATATGGCCAGGTTGATTTTATACTTGATTACAAGCTAACCAAAAATAGGGAGTTTCACAGCACTGAGAATCAGCTCTGGAATCCTGTAGTTCAATTATGCAGTCCAACCCATGTGGCACTTGGAACAGATTCGATCACTTCCTTCATATCTAGCCCCTGAGAGGGTTCAGTGATCTCTAACACCTAGTATTTTTACCCCTGATTATAGAATTCTACAAGGTATCACATCCAACATATGCAAACAATAGCATACAATAGAAACTATGGTATGTTTGCCACTTCTGAGGCCAAGTCACAAAAGACACGTGGCATTATGCTTAGTTCCATTCTTGGATCCTTCCTCTACAAAGTTGCCAGGTTATCATCAGAAGCCTACAGAGTACTAAACTGAGCTCCCTAACAAACATCTTTGGGACTGAAATTGGTAGTGGACCCTCCAGGTCCAGTCAAGCTTTCAGATGACATTTTGATGGTGGCTTTATAAGAGATCCTTAATCAGAACCACTCCCAAATTTCTGATGCACAGAAACTATAAGATCAGTTTTTATTGCTCCAAGAATTGGAAATTGGAATAATTTATTAATCAATGATTGACAAATAAAGTACTTTCTCGTAGTTTCTATTAATAGTCCATACAGGTAATAGTTCCATTGCTCGGAAAATTGCTTTAAGGATTAAATAAGCAAGCCCTCATCTTAACACCGGGTACCCAATGAATACACATTGGCTATTATTACATCCATACATGGTTTCTCCTCCACAAGCAAGCAGCACCTACATGTCACTTACAATCACATCCTCAGTAGGCCTCAGCAAATTAACTTGTAAAATTTGAAGTACACTGAGTTAGAGCTTGTCAGTCACTTTATGTCATCTCAGTTTGATCATCACACAATCTTTCATTCTCTCTCTGACTGCTTTCAAGAAGAGAGGGAAATATCTTAAAACATACAAAGTAAAAGCATTTGCTACAACTAGGAAACCCAAAGCCAAGATAGCAGACCTGACAAGATCAGTCTCTGAGCTCATGAACACACCACAAAGGTTGACAACAGCTAGCTGAGCTGGCTGGAATCAGTCCGAGCTGTGACAGAGCACACTGTTTAGAAACTGCCCTCTGAAATATACAAAGCTCCCATTCAGCCTGGTTTCTGTGCTTTTAAACTAGGAAGAGAGTCTAGTCTTCCACAGGCGAACTTCATTGATGCTATTTTCTCTCTCACTGATTACTCCTCCTGTCTCTTTCACATTTGGGTTTTCTTTTATTACTATGGGAGAATGAGCAGTCAAATTTCATATGAACAGAAAAGAAGGTGTCAAGGAAAGTTACTGCCAAGGCCATGAAAAGAGCAAAGGAAAATGAGATATATGTCTATCTCATAATAAAATTCCACAGTAAAACCAGTTTGACAAATAACCAAATATTTCAAATCTCAGCATACAATATGACAGTTGACACAAAAGGGAGAAATAAAGGAATCCAGACTACTGAGAAGATTTTATTACCATTAAGCCATTACAATTTCCACTTTCCATCCTGGTGTGTGTAGTTCCTCTAAAGTCGGGTTTTCAGATGGAAACACTTGATCTTCTCTAAAAGTAGTCTCTCAGGGGATAAACTCGAGAACTTTATCATTTCTTCCTCCTTTTCAGCTGTTTTGTTCTTTGCTTGCCACATAATCTGTTTTTTCTATCAAGCCTCCTTTTATCCTTCTCTTCCTGCCCTGCTTGCCCCTCCTCTCCTCTCTCAACCCTTGCCCTAACTCTTCTTTTTCACATTTCCTCCCTGCCTTTCTTCTTTCCCTGTGTTTGCTTCAATTTAAACTTTTGTTGATAATCAGGAGGTATTTTCTTGGGTGATGACTTTGTATTTCTTCTAAGAACACCATCCCTTCCTGTGGCACAATCCAGAAACGGTACTGCTGATTCAGTGAAAATATTGCATTCCTGAGCTTTCGTCTTTGTACCTTATGATAAAGCAGGCCATGAAAGTTGATGATATACAGATAGGCAAGCTAACAAATAACTAGAGTGAAAAGAGTAAAAAAAATCACATCTCTACCCAGGTGTTCAAGACATGTCCTTAGCTATCCTTTCCCTTGCCTCCTAATGTTTTAGTAGGTATGAAAGTCCAATTGTTCATGTTTCTATAGCTTTCAAAGTTTGATTTGCACCATAAGAGACCTAGCCCACTTCCCTTGCTACCCTGTCCAGTCTTCCCTCTCTTCAGTCTAGCTTTTCCCTGTCATGCCTAAGGATTCTGTAATGGCTCTGTATTGCACACAGGCTCCAATCAAATTCCCTTTCCTGCTACACACTACTCCCTCTTGCCCAGACCATTTCACTACACCAGGATACAGTCTTTTATCTCTGTGTTGCCACATAAGCTATTCACATTTTCTGGAAAACCTTATCACCAGAAACTTGCAGTAACTACTCAAGCTTCCACATGGAAGCCACTTGAGAATTCCTTGGCTTTCCTAGAAGAGCTTTTCTCATTCCCAGGGCATTTTGTTCAACTCTGTCTAGATTATCTTTTTGAATTGTAAGAGTAGTTAGGTGGAGATAGATGAACCTCTTAGGAAGTCCTTCTTAGGAGAACATTCTTGAAATTTGTTCACATTTCACTGGGAGAAGAGTTTTGGTACTGTTTAGGGGAAATGGCATGTCCTCCTGTCTGCATAACTTCTCCAGCAAAACAGAATCCATTGAGTGAACTTGAGCAAATTCCAAAGAAGACAATTGTACCACTCAGTAATCTATTATTTCACCGCCCATCTCAAATGTTTTTTTCAAAACCAATATTCCTCTCACCTTCCTGAAAAGAAGTTTTGATGATTAGTTTTGTCACACCTTCAGAGATGCCTAAGTGATGTGCTGGAGACTGACAGGCTATCCGTACTACATTGAAATAGATTTCCTTGCATATATACACTAGACTATAAACTTTTTGAAACCAGGTGCCTTCACATTTATAAGATGTGATCTTTGTAGTCACAGCAGCTAGCAAAATGTCTGGAACACAAAGTGATCCTATAAATACTGGTGATGTAAAGGGTGTTGCATACTCTTCCCACAACCAATCACTTGATGAAAACAGTTGCAAATGAACAATTTACAAGAGTCAGACATATGCAGACTAAAATGTCTATCATTTAATAGTCTAGAATGGTAGTAATCATGGGATTCTTTAACTAAATGTAATTAGCAACAGATCAACCTGTTCAGTCGTTTAACCTTTGGCACCTCTGTGCTGATCCTGAAATCACAAGGTAAACATGTCTGATGGCTCCCCCAACTTACTCTGAATTTCCACTTCCAAATCAGGATAAGACTCCCTGGGTACAAAAGCACCTGACCATACATTTCCTTGTTGACCAAACTATCCAGACAGAATGCTTCAGCTGGTTGACTAATTTAGAACTGAGTAGCACTGAAATGAAAGTGTGTCTAAGGAAAGTAGGGCCAGAGGAAACCAAAATTCGTTATTCTCACTTGTTTACACTCCACACTGCACCCTCCATTATCTAAGAGTCATATGGTAAAGGCTAGAGCTAACTGTGAACATTCAGGCAATCCAAGAAGACACACACAGGTGGCTTGAAATGAAAGAACCCATCACAAACATCACATATTCCAGCCCCCGCTGAACATCAACATCATGCTTTAGCTTTGGAAGATACCTACACTGGTCAGTTACTCCTCCACATCATATCCCCCAACTGATGGCTTTTATCATCTCAGAAGTGAAACCCTGGGGTCCCCATGCATTATCTTTTCTCAAAACCATTTTGTTTCTCATATTCCCCCTTCCTTCCCCTGAAGACACCCTCACTACCTTGTTCTAAATCTTTAAGCGATGTGTCTTTTCTTTGAAAATCACACCATAAACTTTTTTTTGAAAAAAAAAGTCACCTTTAAATTTAAAGCTTTTGCAACTAAATTTAAACCTGATAAAAGGGGAACCTGATTTCCCCCAATTTCAGGAAGTAGCCAACAGAACATAACGAAATGTGGCAGCTGCAGGACACCGCCTAACTCCTTGAGTCCTCACTGAGCACATTCAGCTACCCCACATTGCCAGGAAAGCCTTGCACTGGTCCAAGCCCCCGTTATAATCCCTTGTTCCCTCTCAGGGTGGTAAGATTCACAGCCAATCCTCTTCAACATTTCAAACTTACTGCTTTTGTTCAGCAGAACCACTGGCACGGTGATGACAGTGACCAGAGCAGCAGTAGCCAGCAGTCCCAGCAGCACCTTCCAGGGCGTCTACAAGCCGGACAGATGAGATCCAATTAGAAGCGTTGGGCCCCAGCGTGGATGAGGGGGCCAGAGGTAGAGGGATTTGCAGATAAGCGCGTGTAAGACAAGAAGGCTTTCTCTACCCCTTGCCTTCCGGGATATGTGTTTGTGGGTGGCTCTCCCGGACTTCCAAGGCTCAGAGGCGAGAGAGTCTCAGTAAAAACCACGAACTCCACAAGAACTCTGCAAAGTGTTTTCACTAGTCAGAGGGTAGCCCCCGGGGGCTTCCACCTACTGGGAGTCCCAGGGCCCCTTAGAAAGGTTCTCTAGGGCAAGTTAGGAAAAAGTGGCTGAGAGGTATCTACAGCTAGACCTGGGGCTGGGAAAGGGCTAGGCGGGACACTTACCTTCATTGTCGGCGTCTCCTCAGAACTAAGCTTTCTGAACTCGGCCGCGGACCAAGTCACCGGCGAGCCTCCCAGACGGACGTCCTGCTTAGCTGCTCCCCGGCAGCGCAGTCACTCCTCGCTCACAAGTTTCGGCCCCGAGTTAAACATTAGTGAGTGCTCAGGTCTCTGAGCCTAAGGGCGACTCGGGCGGGCTGCACGGGAGAAGGTGCACGGCTCTCCAGGCTCGGGCATTCTGGCCTGGGGGGGTGCCTGCGAGGCGCCTCCTCCGGGTGGTGCGGGGAGCACCGGCGGCCGCGAGAGAGGGAGACGCTGAGCGCCCGGCTGGGGTGCGCCCAGGTCCAGCATCGGATGCGAGACCCGCCACACTTTTAAAATGAAGGGCACGTTATCACTCAGCTCTGCAACCTAGCGTGTGTGAGCAAAATGAAGTCCAGAGCTTGGGAAACTCATAATTCAAGGTGGCAGCTGGAGCTAGCACCTTCTTATCTCTTGCCAGTGAAAGCCGGCATGGGGTGGGATACCAAGTCTAGGAGGTGAAGGGAAAGAGAAGGTGCTGTTCACCTCCGCATAGCACATAGAGGCGGAGTATCAGGATTCATTCACCTTCGGGGATTTCCTTGTGTCTCCCAGCTTACCTCCTCTTCAGGATGCCAAAAATAATAACACTACCATTTCCTTCGAACTTTCCCCCAATTGCTGCTCTAAGCATTTATTTGTTCATCTCACAGGCAAAAACCCATGCACGGCAAGAGTACGTGATTTGGGCAAATCATTCATTCAGGGGAATGTGGAGTCCCAGTTAAGAGTTTATGTTGTTGAGGATAATTCCACTTGGCTTTTTGTACAGAAGTTTCAGAGAGGAGAAAAAGTCTCAAGAGGCTGCTCTCGGTGAGCATTATGCTGTGCAGTGCTGTTCATTCATTCACTCCTTCATTCCCACTTCCTTTTATTGATTCCACTCATCCACATATGTGTGAAGGGCTGCACTATTTGAGAAGTTACTCTATTCTTGGTGTTGGCAATCAAATGGAAAAAAACGCTGGTGACGTTACTGCCCTTGGTCTTTTAGTGTAAAACAAACAGGTAAACATTTGCCTTTTGGGCACCTGTAGGATTATTCTCTGCAATGGAGATAAGAACTCCTTTCCCCATAAGACTTCTTCAGCTTGTTTGTTGCTGTTATCAAGTCCCTCCGTCAAGAGTTACAGGAGAAAGACTGAAGCTGCAGTACTCTTTGGGGGCATTAACACGTGGTTATGAATCGGATTAAATTTCCATCCCTTACTCTTCTAAATTTAGACACTGTTCCCCCGTCTCCACTGGTTGCTGATGATACATAAATACACTCACTCAGTTTCATCTCCAGATGCTCAAACTGAACTTTGACTTCATCAACCTCACATCACCGTTCTTTGAAAAATCTTTGTCTCCATAAAAAGTTTCCCTGCTCATGATTCACAAAAACTCAAAACTTCAGTCATCTTGGTCTTTGTTTTCCATGCTCTGGCTGTGTTCCTTTGGCCACAGCTAGTGTTTGAATGTGTGCCCTACAAATTCTGTGCTTGAAACTTAGTGTCTGGTACAACAGAGTCTGGAGGAGGAACCTAATATGAGGCAATGGGGTCACTGGGGGTCAACCATCAGGAATGGGTTAATGACTGCTATAGGAATGGGTTAGTGTAAAGAGTGGCTTGTCCTTCTCCTTGCTTGCTTGCAGTCTCAGGCTCTCTCACACTTCCATCTCTTGTGATAAGCATGTTCAGAATGAACGTGCTTGACAGGTGCAGCCTCCTTGACCTTGGGCTTTGCAGCCTCCAGAATTGTTAAGACATTAATGTATTTTCTTCATAAGCTCCCCATTCTGTGGTATTCTGTTATAATAGCACAAATGACCAAGATAACCACCAATTCTTTCAATTCTGCTTTTACAGAATGTTTGAAATCTGTCACCTCCCCCTTTCCAACTGTCCAGCGATGAGGGTTAGCAGGGTTCTCACAGACCAGGAGCTGAAGTTGTGAAGAGAAATCTCCTGGTAAAGACTATGGGCAGTGGTACCGTAGCAATGCTCTATTTCCCTTTGCTCTTGGCAATTTGGGCACTAGCCAGAAGTGGTCACCACATCCGTTTTTGGTAGGGGAAGACCTATGGTTGAGCCTGCGTTTATGCTGCATGCCTGCCCCATATCAGTGTTCATTCAGCAGGCTGCAGGGAAGCTGGGAGGACGTGTGCAGGCCATTCTTGTTCCTTGGAGAGCATGCCGTGAGATACAAACATCTTCACATATTTGGGAGATTCTTTCATATGCTTGCCTCACCCTGACCTCTTTTCCCTCTAGTCTTTTCAATTTTGTTTTTCTAAGTCCTTGAGGAACCAGCTGGCCAACACATTAGTTACCCTTTATGAGTCAGTGTAGATTTTGTATCAAGCCATTTTTTTTCCATGCAAAGTGGAAAAGCAGATATACCGCTCAACACTCTGCCCATCATTAAGATTTTTCTTTCTACTCCACTTCAGATATTTTCTGAGAACAACTTTGGTACATCAACCATCCACTTATTAGTGCCAACAGATTGCTTTGCCTAAGACTGACTTTTCCTCTTACTTTGTTGTCTGGTTTCAAAAAAACTTCTCATGAAGCTATAGATGTGTACTGAGGCATCTAGGGTCTTAAGTTACCTAATCTGTGATTTTCTAATGGCAAGTGGAGTTCAACTCATCACTTATACAGTACAGATGTCATTTTTACCTATTAATAGAACGTGTCTGACATATCTAATTTTAGGATGTATTTGATTAGGCAGCACTCAATTCACTTTTGGCAACTAGATTGTAAAACGAGTTGATGTTTGAAGTTGAATTTTATTCCCCTAATAATATATATTGGAGTCCGAAGCTGGAAGAATATGGCCTTATTTGGAGACAGGGTGATTATATGGGCTACCAAGCTAGAATGTGGTTATTACTTTAGGTTTCTAAATCAACATGGCCAGTATTCTTACGAAAAGGGAAATACATAAACTCACAGACACATGAAGGAAAGATGATGTAAGAGCCACAGGGAGCAAAATTCATTTTCAGGCCAGGGTGAAATCTAAAACAGAACCCTCCCTCACAGCCCTCAGAAGCAATTAATCCTGCTGACCCCTTGATTTAAGATGTGTGGTCACTAGAACTGACCACACATCTTAAATCAAGATAGATTGCTTTTATGTGAGTCACCTATTTGGTGGCATTTTGTCACAGAACACCCTCTCTCCCCACCGATCTTTTGGTGTTTAATAACTATGCTTTCAGTTTCCACCTGAACCCAGGAACAGGACAGTTGCTGCTTTTTAGACAGTGAGGAATCATTGGCCATTATAGCAGGGTTCGCAGATGGTCCCCAAAACTTCAGGGTGGTTTATTACACAATAGATAACCAGTAACTTGGCAGAGAGCATGGCTCTTCTCTAAAACCCTAGGGATCTTCTCTTGGAAGATCTCTGCTCCTATTGGACCAGGTATTTCTAGCTGCCTCAGAAAATGTAATTAACTACTACCGTGTCATGAGACTTAAGTAGTAAGGCAACTTGCACTATAGCCTAGACTTGCAAAGTTTTCTCTTGCCTCTTTCAAAACAAATGTTAATTTAGGTTACTGCTGCTTTTGGTTTTTCGTGTTTACATGTTGAGACAGTACCAAGGGCTTCAACTTGGCCTTTGATACCTCAATATTACTTAATGGGACCAGGAAATGCATGCACAAGGATTGCAGGCAGCCTCTAGGACTTAGAGGAAACAAGGGAACAGGTTATTCTTTAGGGCCCCCAGGAGGAACTGAGCCTGATGACACTTTCATTTTAACCTAGTAGTACATATTTTAGACTTTCAACCTCTGCATGAGAAATTTGTGTTGTCTTAATTTGCCCAATGTATGGCAATTTTAGGGTCAGTGTTTTAATAACTGCAGGCAGGTCCTGGCATATCCATTCTCTTGCTTTCTTCTTTCTTTTATTTTTTTATTTCTTTTTTTTCCTCCAGAAACAGCAACAGTAACAAGGATGTATTTATTATTTATATCAGTCCTGGCATATCCCTTTTCATAGTATATTTTCAGATTTATAGATTTAATTGTAATTCCTGTGTCCTTCTGGACAAGGCTTAGAAGAAAATTTAACATGTATTTTATGACAGCATTGTAGAGTCCGTCCTCAAAGATATCTCATCTCCCATTTTAAACAAGGCATTTTGGGTCTATTGGTCTGAGATTGAGAACTGGGTTAGAGATTGTCACAGTTTGAATGACTCCCCTGTAACTCATATAAAATTTATTTGTCACCATGATGGTATTAAGAAATGGGATTTAGGGACCCAGTGTGAAGCATAATGGGTTCAGCCACTGCCTGCAATGCCAAGATCCCATATGGGCGCCTGTGTCAGTCCCAGTTGCTCCACTTCCTATCCAGCTCCCTGGAAAAATGCCTGGAAAAGCAGCAAAAGATTGGCCAAGTGTTTGAGTCCATATATTCATGTGAAAGACCAGGATGCAACTCCTGGCTCCTGGCTAAGCACTAGCCATTTTGACAATTTGGAAGGTGAATCAGCACATTGAAGATCTCTTTTACTCTCTGTAACTCAGAATTTGTTTAAGTGAGATATGGGAGCTTTAAGAGGTCATTAGGGATTAGGTCAAGAGCATGACCTTCACAAATGAATTAATGTCATTATTAAGAGAGTAGGTCATTTGTTTTAATTAAATTAACACCTCTGTACACTCATGCTGTGTCATCCTATGATGCCTTCTGCTGTGGTATGGCACACCAAGATCTACGCCAAATGTAGTCCACTAATCTTTGACTTCCAGCCTTCCAGAACCATGAGCCAAGCAATTTTTTTTGTTGTTCAGAATCTGTCTGGCCCAGAGAATTATTTTATAGGAACAAAAAAGACAAAAACAGAGGCAATAATTTTCTCCTATGGAAATTCAAGTCACATTTCTACCTACCTGACAGAGAACATTTCTGGTTGTTTGAATCCAACCACAATTCAGAATATTATCCATTTACTTCTTTCTTAAGAACTCATGATAAATGAGCCACTTCCTTTGATATACCACGTTATTTCTTCATCTGTTTGTGACAGCAGTCCCTTTTGGGAACTTGTGTCTTAGAATTGAAATATTTCCAATGAGTTTTAGCTGTGGAGGTATGTAGCTACTGCCGGGTAG